TTTGGTTTTTCCATGATTTCTACGGAAGTAAAATCTAGGGTAATGCGGATATGAGATAATGTCAACGAAACATAACACTGTTCCAGTGGTTTAGTGAATCCAAAAATCTTACATATTGTGCCTTTAATAAAAAAAATCACTATGTACATGACCAAAATAAATAAATAAATAAATAAATGAACAGGATTTGCATGAAATGAGGAGTCGGAAAAGTCAGAATTGGGATAAAGTACGGATTTAATCTAGATGTCCTTTGACAGAATGAGAATCCCTGGGGTTTTAAAGGAAATAATAATGGAAAAAGACTTCCCAGATGTCAAAATACTTAGGCACAGAAGCCTGGCATATTTAAGATCCGAACTGTTGAGAAAAATCCAGTGGAAAAACCAAAAGTATTATCTCTGTGGGAGTGTGCTATAGTACATTTAAAGTAGTTTACATGGTTTAGTGAAGCCCTGACAGCTTCAAAGCTGTGATGGAAACCGTAGCTGTAAACTCGATAACACACGCCGCATGCTGAAATCATGAAGAATCAATGTTTTAGTTCCTTAGCTGCGCCACTGTAAAATAATCACAGTTACTATTGTGATTATAAACCGGTGCAAACAAAACATGTCTTTCATTTGGCCAACTTTAAAAAAAATGATTTAGTTTAACTTATTAGTTAACAGTAAATGTATATTTCATTGAATAATGCAACTAACCTATGTTTTTTGGAGCATAACTATTTAAAAAAAAGTAATAAAAAATTCCATGCAGTATTATCCCTATATGCAGCATCTCAACATCTCCACAGAGAAAAAGATCCATACATAATTCAGATAACAATTTTTTTTTAAATCAATTTAAAATGCTGTTGATTTTCAGCGGTGGTCAAAACGAACGCAACTTGAATCAATGCACCTTCTTGCAGCCTACATACCAATTAAATCTGCTGGAAACTGTCGTCAAATAGCTCCAGACGCTTCTTTAACAACCTCTTCAGTTGGGGGTGGATGTTCAAGAGCTGCTAGAAACGTATCACGGTCAAGCTAGAAAAATACAGGTATAAAGTCGCTCTCAATATGTGCCGAAACGATTCTCAAACCACCAAAACCAACAATGCATGATTATCATGTCAACCAATAATATATTTGAGAAGAACTACAGGAACTTAAAAGCACTAGTATATTATCTATCTAGTATGGACTAGACCAAAACTGGAGACTAAGGCATAGATAAAATGTCAAAGGAATATCCAAAATAGCCTTATATCTGAGAGAAATGTTGCAAGAAACATAATTGGCCATAAGGTTGTTGCTGATCTTTGATGAAAAGAGAGGGAAGGCGGACGCATAGGGAAGCTTTCGAAGAGAGAGGGGGAGGTAGATGATGACTAGAGATAAAAATAAAAAGTGACATTTTTCCTGATGGTAATGGTTCTCACAGCAAGCAGCTTTGACCTTCAGTTTTGTTTGAATTTGTGACGCTCTCGTGCATGACACCAAATGTGTACCGACAAATTCACACAGAGAGAGTCCGAAAAGCCAGGGAAAGCCGAGGTCAGGTTTGGCACTGGAGCGTCGGGTCCGTGTGTGGATAAACTGTTTGCCGGGGGTGAAAATAAACAGCAGATGGAATAAATTTGGCTTATTAAAACACAGGCACCTTAACCAAATGAAACATCCATGACAGACCCCGAATCCTATCCAGGAGTCTCATAATGGACTGTTACTTCAAGTAAATGAAAATGACTGAAATGCTTATCATAAAATGAATAACAGTTACGAGTTAATGAATTTGACGGTAAATTCAATGTTGGTCATTTTCGTCAATTATTATGAATTTATGATTATCAAGAGTAATTTTTAATCAGGTTATTAACCATTTTAGGCAATCCGTTCCATCAGTTTGAGAACCACTGCTGTACCCATAATGCAAGGCTGTCTAAAAGTTACTAATAACAAACAGGAAAAGCTAGCCTGTAGGAAACATAATACTCCATGTTACATCACAGAGGGTGATTTAGTATCAGACCACAAACCGAAACGGAAAAAGAAATGCTTGATAAAATATGATACCGACAGTCCAAATTCACCATCATAAACTGGTTTGCAATGAAATAAAATCGTGTTTCTAAACGCTGCAACTTCTAGCAGTGCTGGAATGCAGGACAGTGTGTTAGCAACAATAGAGTTTGGATTTTGGAACTTTGACCCTGGAAAAAAAAGTTTGAGGAAATGATTTATGATGCTCCCTAAAGCGTTATCACCAGAGCTCGGGAGAAAAATCTCGTCATGAAGGTGTGAATCAACTTTTACACACTTCTAGATTTCAGAAATACGGTGGGAGATTACTGGCTTTGGTTACTTTTTACCTCTAAAAACACATGATAAAGCTAAGCTCTCGTTATGAATTCACTGCAAATTTTCAATAGGCTAAGCCCAAAATATTCAGCCTAGATTTCCTCAAAATGTACTTGGAATTAATCTCTTATGATGGACAGAATAACTACACAGCACAAGACACAAGAAGCAAATCTTTAAGCCTTAAACACAGCAATTATATTTAAAATAGAGTTCCCACACAATAATCATTTCCCCATAACATAGTCATTTGTGATTACTAGAAGGATTTTTTTAAAAATTCATAGAGATTGTACTCTCAAAGAAACAATTTTATACAATATTTTTGAGCAGAATATAACAGGAACAAATATGTATTAACTATAGAAATTTCCATGATTTGTAAGGTAACGATTAAAGGGATAGTTCACCCAAAAATGAAAATGATCCCATAATATCCTCACCCTCAAGCCATCCTTGGTGAATATGACTTTATTATTTCAGCCAAACACAATCAGAGTTATATTAAAAAATATCCTGGCTCTTCCAGGCTTTATACTGTAATGGAAGTAACGCTTCAAGATTTTGAAGCTCCAAAAAAGCGCATCCATCCATCATAAAAGTAATATATACGACTCCAGGGGGTTAATAAAGGCCTTCTGAAGCAAAGCGATTGCGTTTTTGTAAGAAAAATATAATCACTGGCTTCCGGTAACACTTCCGAGTTTGTCAATACGTCATGCGTCGGGTCAGAGGTCACTCTTCATGCGTCGGGTCAGAGGTCAATCATCTGCCGTTACCGGTCCGGAAGCCAGTGATTATATTGTATAAAGTTATAATATGGATATCTTTCTTACACAAACGCATGGCTGTGCTTCAGAAGGCCTTTATTACCCCCCTGGAGCCGTATGGATTACTTTTATTTATGATGGATGGATGTGCTTTTTTGGGCTTCAAAATATCTTCTACCATTCACTCCCATTATAAAGCTTTGAAGAGCCAGGATATTACTTAATATATAACTCAGATAACATTTGGCTGAAAGTCATATACACCTAAGATGGCTTGAGGGTAAGGAAATCATGGGACAATTTTCATTTTTGGATGAACCAACCCTTTAATGGCTCACTGCCAAATATCTTTCATATTTAAGAACAGAAGAGCAATGAATCCAACCAACATAACCTCAGTGCCTTGATACTTCCTGAAACAGGCATTTTGATACAGATTGGGAGATTTTTCCTCATATCATGAGATAACTAAGCAGGTTTCACTGACATTTTAAACAAAGAAGTGTATCATATTTGATATGATGTAGATGTTGAACAAACATAGAGCAAAGTTCACAAAGAAAGCTTTACCATTCATAGAGATCCACATTTGTATGTGGCATCTAAAATGTATTGTGGCATCATGTGTAATATCTTAAGCAACATTATAATCAGACTTTGTGCGGTTCACTGTGTCGTTGAAATACATTGTTTTGGTTGATAAAGAGTGACCACTATTTACTCAAAAGCTGCAGTTAACAGATGCCAAAAAGCGAAGGGTTTTCTGACTGACATTAAAAGGGAGATTAACACATATCTAGGGTTGAAAACGAGGAAACCTCGAGGTTAAGACCTAATAGATAATCTCCCAATAACATCAGATACGGCGATTTAAAAGGATTAAACATAGCTAATGAAACATTAGATTTAGGGGGAGGGGCGGGAAACCAATATTTTCCATCATATTTTTGGAAATGAGAAACAAATATGAGTAAATAACACTTTGAAACGGGACTCGTGGGTTCGTAAAAACCAAATAATGTTGTTATTTGCATGACATTTTGGCTACACTGGCATGTCTCGTTCACGGACAAAGCGAGCAATCGATTAACGAAAAAAAAAAACCCACACACATCAAAACTGACTCAAATATCAGAGCGTATATTCGCCAAAAAATCTTCAGATTAAGATCAAGGCGTTATATTAAAATGCTCAGTATAGCAAGAACTGGTCTTGACAAGGCCGCGATAACAACTATGCAATATGCGCAGTGTCATTTTCTTTGTCAACCCCCCACCTTCCCCTAAAATACAAAATTATTTTCTGACATTTCCCCATTGCAGCAAAGCGCGCTCCCCCAGCGCCGATGATTTGAGGGAAGGGAGGACGCGCGCAGCAGCATGACAGTGGGGCGGGGACGCGCACAGCCCTCCCCCAACCCCAAATAATACAGTAGCCTACAATAAAACAGGGAGCGCGCACACTGGCAAAAGGAACGCATTTGATTGGTCAATGCACAATTCCCTCTGTACACGTAACACGCCCTGCTTACAATAAATAAACATCGCCCAAATTTTCTTAAAAAAAATAATAACTTAAAGAAATAACGTCGGGGCAAAAACACTAACTATTACACAGCGAGATAAAAACAAATGTGCACTTGACACACATTATTGCTCATATTACGGCCGCATAACTAAACTCATAACTGCGATTTTTTTTTTTTTTTTGATAAGGTCCAGCGGGTGGTGAGCGGCTATGAGAAAAAATCGTTGCGAGACAAAAAAGCCGCTTCGCTCGCCGCTATAGGCAATTGATTTCCACTAGTCCCCTACACCAAATATACACATTCACGGAACGTGAAGCTGTACTGGACAATTCTGCATGTTAGGTTAAACGAGCTTACCTACACAGTGAATGAGTTTATGCCGCCACGAATCAAGTTCCTGCCGAAAGCCGCGCCTCTCGATCGTGCATTGCTGCCTTCTGCACAGACTCGCCATTTTCTATCGGCCCCTCCCGCGGGCGCGCACCTTCTACTGGGAGCTTCCCAGAGTCGACGTCATCAGTCCCCTCTCTCTCTCTCTCTCTCTCTCTCTCTCTCTCTCTCTCTCTCTCTCTCTCTCTCTCTCTCTCTCTCTCTCTCTCTCTCTCTCTCTCTCTCTCTCTCTCTCTCTCTGGGAAGGGCTGGAGGGGGGTGGGGGGGTCTTCGCTGCTGCAGCACTCTTCGGTTCTGACATGTCCCTCCCACATCCAAATCTTATTCAGCCTATGCCGAAGCTTTACATTTTGCTATAGCGTGTTTCGCTTAAATTCAGATGACTTCATTTAAAAATTGTCTGTTATCATATGTTAATACTTATATGATCCTTGTCATTTATTGTGTATTTCATATGTTGATAAATAATATATAAAACAATACAAATACATTGTCAATATTTTAATAATACCCTATAATTTAGATAGAAATATCAAATAATTTACATTACAGAAACATAATTGAATTATTACATTTGTACTTAGTCCCTCTGAGGAATGTTTAATGCATTAAAGGATAGTTCACCCAAAAAAGACTGGTCAGACTTTCGTTCATCTTCGGAACACAAATGAAGATCTTTTTGATTAAATCTGAGAGATTTCTGCTCAAACGTGCTGCGTAACAAGAGAATGAACCTCATTGGTTCTTGCAGAAGCTCAAACGTGCTGCGTAACACGAGAATGAACCTCATTGGTTCTTTCTGAAGCTCAAACGTGCTGCGTAACACGAGAATGAACCTCATTGGTTCTTGCAGAAGCTCAAACGTGCTGCGTAACACGAGAATGAACCTCATTGGTTCTTGCAGAAGCTCAAACGTGCTGCGTAACACGAGAATGAACCTCATTGGTTCTTGCAGAAGCTCAAACGTGCTGTGTAACACGAGAATGAACCTCATTGGTTCTTGCAGAAGCTCAAACGTGCTGTGTAACACGAGAATGAACCTCATTGGTTCTTGCTGAAGCTCAAACGTGCTGTGTAACACGAGAATGAACCTCATTGGCTATTGCAGAAGCTCAAACGTGCTGCGTAACACGAGAATGAACCTCATTGGTTCTTGCAGAAGCTCAAACGTGCTGCGTAACACGAGAATGAACCTCATTGGTTCTTGCTGAAGCTCAAACGTGCTGCGTTACATGAGAATGAACCTCATTGGTTCTTGCTGAAGCTCAAACGTGCTGCGTTACATGAGAATGAACCTCATTGGTTCTTGCTGAAGCTCAAACGTGCTGCGTTACATGAGAATGAACCTCATTGGTTCTTGAAGAAGCTCAAACGTGCTGCGTAACACGAGAATGAACCGCATTGGTTCTTGAAGAAGTTCAAACGTGCTGCGTAACACGAGAATGAACCTCATTGGTTCTTGCAGAAGCTCAAACGTGCTGCGTAACACGAGAATGAACCTCATTGGTTCTTGCTGAAGCTCAAACGTGCTGCGTTACATGAGAATGAACCTCATTGGTTCCTGCTGAAGCTCAAACGTGCTGCGTAACACGAGAATGAACCTCATTGGTTCTTGCTGAAGCTCAAACGTGCTGCGTTACATGAGAATGAACCTCATTGGTTCTTGTTGAAGCTCAAACGTGCTGCGTAACACATGAATGAACCTCATTGGTTCTTGAAGAAGCTCAAACGTGCTGCGTAACACGAGAATGAACCTCATTGGTTCTTGAAGAAGCTCAAACGTGCTGCGTAACACGAGAATGAACCGCATTGGTTCTTGCAGAAGCTCAAACGTGCTGCGTAACACATGAATGAACCTCATTGGTTCTTGCAGAGGCTCAAACGTGCTGCGTAACACGAGAATGAACCTCATTGGTTCTTGAAGAAGCTCAAACGTGCTGCGTAATAGGGGTGTGACAAAAAATCGATTCACAGAAGAATCTAGATTCTCATTTGCAACGATTCAGAATCGATCTGAAATGTCCAAGAATCGATTTAATAAATAAATAAAATCAGCTGGCTGTTCGCCTCCATTTTTGTAACTATGGCCTATACGGGACGTCCGGACGTCATGCACGCAGCCGGTTTTTGAACGTGAGCGGCAAATCAGAGGAAGCAAATATGGATGCTTTTATAGAGCTTTTGATGCTTCTAAATATGATGCTTCTACATTCATTCTGCCGTGGCGGGCCGCCACACCTAAAATAATCCCGCCACGGCTGCAGCTTCTCAGTGAGGTCCGATATTAATGTGCATACTATTATGTAATTGTTAAGCTAAAGGCATAAAAAACATTGTAAAGCAGTGTTCGCACTATATTCCAAGACTTCTAAAGTCATTCAATAGCATAATGTGAGGTAAAAATTAATATTTAAGTCGTTAGTTAAAGTTAATGGAAACTCATCTCTCCTCAGTCATTCTCCATTCAGCATTCACACAGCGCGTCGCGTTATAGCGTTTTCTAAATCATAATCCTTTCTCCCGGGTGTCTGTTAGATTACAGCACTGGAGAGCGCTATGAAATGTTCTTCATCCGCACTGTAACTGAAATTTAAAACTGTTAAAAGAAAATGCTCAATAAACTGTTGCAAATATATAATACATTAAGCATAGATAGACAGATATAATCTCTTCGCTTTGTGCTTTGAACTTTTCAATCCGGAGCGCTGCGCGCTGTGACTTCGCGTTGCTTCAAGTGCATCATTCTGCGCACGGGATGCGCATAATCGCTTTGCCGCTCTTATTCGAGCCTTTCATGTTATAATGTTATAATACTTAGGGGAGGTTTAAACACCTGGGGTAAGGGGGCGTGGCCAATGGCAATCACTCATGGGCCACGCCCCCTCCCCCTGGCGAAATGGGCCTGCCACCACAGCTGGAAAAAATCCTAGAGGAAACACTGGTCTCTGTTTGTCATTCTGTATAGCAAAGCAGATGAGAGTAGATCATGATCAGAAACCCGATTAGAAATCATTATGGATAAAATCGAATCGTTTTAAATCGAAAATCTTTTTGAATCGAAAATCGATTTTGAATCGAATCGTGGCCTCAAGAATCGGAATCGAATTGAATCGTGAGATGGTAAAAGATTCCCACCCCTACTGCGTAACACGAGAATGAACCTCATTGGTTCTTGCAGAAGCTCAAACGTGCTGCGTAACACATGAATGAACCTCATTGGTTCTTGCTGAAGCTCAAACGTGCTGCGTGACACGAGAATGAACCTCATTGGTTCTTGCAGAAGTTGATGCGAGTGGAGATCCTGTGAGTGGATCGAGTAAAATCGATTAGCTAACTTTTTAAGGCAGTGATTCTCTGGTCATGTAATAAAGCAGGAATATCTGTTCCCTCACAATTAATGCTGCAGTATAGCAGGTACAGTGCAGTTAAAGGTAAGCTGTTTAGGAGTGACTGACAGCTTTTATTGTACTATGGCGCTGCAGATTTCCTAATGTGATTTCAATGGGTTACTGTGCACAGTAATGATTGAAGCAATTGTTATATAGGATGAAATGGTAGAAGAAAGGCAAATGAAATGAATAAAATATAAATGCATTATAAGTTCTTTTTTTACCTGAGAATAGTGTGCTTAATTTTCACTCCAAATGGAATGCCAGTACAGTATATAGGCTAGTTAATCATAATAATAATTTTTTTTTTTTGTGGAGAATTTGATGATTAGCAACGTTGCTCTTTTCCATCCAACAAAAGTAAATAGTAAGAACGGTTATCAAACATGAAAAATGCAATAAAAGGAAAGGAATGCGTAAAACTATACATTTAAATAAAATCTAAACTAAGACGCTTTACACAGTATACAGGTCCTTCTCAAAAAATTAGCATATTGTGATAAAGTTCATTATTTTCCATAATGTAATGATAAAAATTTAACTTTCATATATTTTAGATTCATTGCACACCAACTGAAATATTTCAGGTCTTTTATTGTTTTAATACTGATGATTTTGGCATACAGCTCATGAAAACCCAAAATTCCTGTCTAAAAAAATTTGCATATTTCATCCGACCAATAAAAGAAGTGTTTTTAATACAAAAAAAAAGAGTCAACTTTCAAATAATTATGTTCAGTTATGCACTCAATACTCAATACTTGGTCGGGAATCCTTTTGCAGAAATGACTGCTTCAATGCGGCGTGGCATGGAGGCAATCAGCCTGTGGCACTGCTGAGGTGTTATGGAGGCCCAGGATGCTTCGATAGCGGCCTTAAGCTCATCCAGAGTGTTGGGTCTTGCGTCTCTCAACTTTCTCTTCACAATATCCCACAGATTCTCTATGGGGTTCAGGTCAGGAGAGTTGGCAGGCCAATTGAGCACAGTAATACCATGGTCAGTAAACCATTTACCAGTGGTTTTGGCACTGTGAGCAGGTGCCAGTTCGTGCTGAAAAATGAAATCTTCATCTCCATAAAGCTTTTCAGCAGATGGAAGCATGAAGTGCTCCAAAATCTCCTGATAGCTAGCTGCATTGACCCTGCCCTTGATAAAACACAGTGCACCAACACCAGCAGCTAACATGGCACCCCAGACCATCACTGACTGTTGGTACTTGACACTGGACTTCAGGCATTTTGGCATTTCCTTCTCCCCAGTCTTCCTCCAGACTCTGGCACCTTGATTTCTGAATGACATGCAAAACTGAGCAACAGTCCAGTGCTGCTTCTCTGTAGCCCAGGTCAGGCGCTTCTGCCGCTGTTTCTGGTTCAAAAGTGGCTTGACCTGGGGAATGCGGCACCTGTAGCCCATTTCCTGCACACGCCTGTGCACGGTGGCTCTGGATGTTTCTACTCCAGACTCAGTCCACTGCTTCCGCAGGTCCCCCAAGGTCTGGAATCGGTCCTTCTCCACAATCTTCCTCAGGGTCCGGTCACCTCTTCTCGTTGTGCAGCGTTTTTTGCCACACTTTTTCCTTCCCACAGACTTCCCACTGAGGTGCCTTGATACAGCACTCTGGGAACAGCCTATTTGTTCAGAAATTTCTTTCTGTCTTATCCTCTTGCTTGAGGGTGTCAATGATGGCCTTCTGGACAGCAATCAGGTCGGCAGTCTTACCCA